TAGTACCATTTGGGTGCTATAACTTAACTTTAATGTACATAGAAAGAATACCTTTAAGTATTGCAAACAAAGTACAAAATGTGAAAATGTTTTAAATTTACATATAAAACAAGTGCAAGAACGCTTCATTACAATGTAGGCTGAATCATTACAAAGCAAATGACACAACAACAACTTACAACAGCTTAAGTCACAATAAATAAACTCAGTATAAAAATAAAAACACTAAAAGAAACATTTGGCACCACTTGTGGAAACATGAGTGGTTTTAAACCTACATGAGGTTGGAGAAGAAGAACGTTGACCCTTTTACATCATCTTCACCTGGAACTTCAAGGTCTACGTTTGTTGGATAAAAGTGAGGCCCCCCAAGAGTGTTATATTTGCGGTTTGGCATTCTTTGATTTTGTGCTTCAGTGGGGAAAACAGTGACGAAGTATCCATCTCTACTATCAGGTACTCTTATTCTTGGATCTTGTGGCAAACGTGCATTAGGTAACGGCTGCATTGTTCTCGGAGGATTCACATAAATGTCACCGGTAGGAATTCGACTGGTATGTCTGGGGTCCCTCATGCCTATATTAACACCTGACGGGGAGGCCATCTGTCTGTAGTTCTGTGATGCCTGGAGGTCTAGTTTCGAACCTCTGGCTCGAGGCACATGATCCCTTCCTGTGAAATCATCGATGTTGAGATCTGAATGGTTGAAATTAATATTGTGGCCTAAATTAGCATCTGGCAGAGGGTAGCTGGACCTTACTTGGGTCCTAGCCGACCTTCTATCTGTGTGATGAAGTCTGACATCTCTATCTACATCCAGGACAGGCATTTTCATGTTTACCCCTGTGATATTGGATCTGAGATTCTTATAAGAAGGTCCTTTGAAATTCAGTGACGCATTATCTATGTTGAGATTCGGATGTTTGAGATGCAGCTGTGGATTCCGCATTGCCGCGTTTTGCATGCTGAGATTCATGTTTGGAGCGCTGACATTTGGACCTGTGATATTTCCCTTCAACTGTGGTGGTTTCATGTTCAGTTTTGGAGGAGTAATATCCAGATTTGTTGGTCTCGGAGAGGCACCAAAATCAATATCAGACCCTGTCGCTGTAAGATCTGGGCCTCCAAACTGAGGCAGCTTGAAAGAAGGGAGTTTGAATTTTCTGTCTGCCAAATCAAAATCATTCTGAGGACCCTGGATGTTTCCTGAGGGAACATTCATGTCAACGTCTGGACCTCTCATTCCCCCTTTGAACCTGGCATCAGGCAAATCTAATTCTGGCATACGAATACCAGGACCTTTCAGTTTAGGTCCTGAAAGATCCATGTCTGGTGTTTTTAACTTAGGTGCAGAGAGATTGAAGTCTGGTGCATTTAAACTTGGCATATTTAATTTCCCTTTTGGACCATTAACATCTACATTTGGGAAATTCAGGTCAGGCCCATGTAGGTCCCCATTAATGTCAACATTTGGGCCTTTTGGCATCTTGGGCTTTTTTAACTTTGCATCAGGTAAACCAATATTCAAATCTGGAGTGTTCATATCTAACTTGGGAGCTTTAAGGTCCAGGTTTGGTAAGCCCAACTTGGGGGCATCGATTCCACCTTTCATCTTTGGAGCTTTGAGATTAAAATCTGGAGTTTTCAGGTCTGAATTTATGTTCAAATTTGGCCCTTTCGGTAATTTGGCATTAAGATCTGGTGATTTGAAGTCAAAGTTGGGGCCATCTAACTTTGGACTAGTAAATCCCACATCAGGCATTTTCAAATGTGGCGTCTTAATTTTTCCAGATGGGCTGCCAAAATTAACATCTGGCATTTCAAAGCCAGGTTTGGACCCTTTAAGGTTGAAGTTGGGTGCATTTATATCTACATCTGGGCCATCAATCTCAGGTCCTTTTAGGTGCGGTAGACTAACTTTAGGCATTTTCAATTTGGGCTTTTTCAGCTTCACTTTGGGTGAACCAAAGTTGACATTGGGAGTGTTCATGTCTAATTTGGGAGCTTTAAGGTCCATATTAGGCAAGTCCAAGTCAGGAGCATCAATTCCACCTTTCATCTTTGGTGCTCTCAGGCTCAAGTCAGGTGAATTCATATCTGCGTTTATGTCCATGTTTGGTCCTTTTGGTAATGTACCTGAAAGATTGAATTTTGGCATTTTCATTTTGCCAGAAGGAGCTTTTACATCCCAGTCTGGAGCATGAAGCTCTGGCATTTTCAGTTTACCTGATGGCATGTCTAAGTTTAGCTTTGGGGTATTGAGGTCCAGTTTTGGGCTTTTGAGATCAACCTTGGGCATATTTATGTCTGGTACATTTATACCACCACCGAGGTTAGGACCAGAGATATCAAGGTCAGGTGATTTGAGGTCCAAGTTAGGGCCATCTAACTTTGGACCAGAAAGTCCAAAATCAGGCAGGTTGAAGTTTGGCTTTTTGAATTTTCCAGATGGTCCAGCAATATCGACATCCAAGTCAGCTTTAGGACCTTTGAGGTTGACATTGGGTGCATTTATATCTACATCTGGGCCATCAATTTCAGGTCCTTTTAGGCTTGGGAGGCCAAATTTAGGCATTTTCAGTTTAGGCATTTTAAATTTTGCTTTGGGTGAACCGATGTTGAGATCTGGAGTGTTCACATCTAACTTGGGGGCTTTAAGGTCCATATTAGGCAAGTCCAAGTCAGGAGTATCAATTCCACCCTTTATCTTTGGAGCATTAAGACTCAAATCTGGTGACTTAAGATCTGCGTTCAGGTCCATATTTGGTCCTTTTGGTAATGTACCTGAAAGATTGAATTTTGGCATTTTCATTTTGCCAGAAGGAGCTTTTACATCCCAGTCTGGAGCGTGAAGCTCTGGCATTTTCAGTTTACCTGATGGCATGTCTAAGTTTAGCTTTGGGGTATTGAGGTCCAGTTTTGGGCTTTTGAGATCAACCTTGGGCATATTTATGTCTGGTACATTTATACCACCACCGAGGTTAGGACCAGAGATATCAAGGTCAGGTGCTTTGAGGTCCAAGTTAGGGCCATCTAACTTTGGACCAGAAAGTCCAAAATCAGGCAGGTTGAAGTTTGGCTTTTTGAATTTTCCCGATGGTCCAGCAATATCAACATCCAAGTCAGCTTGAGGACCTTTGAGGTTGACATTGGGTACATTTACATCAACATCTGGACCATCTAAGTTCCCATCAATCTCAGGTCCTTTTAGGCTTGGAAGATTAAATTTAGGCCACTTAAACTTGGGCATTTTAAATTTTGCCTTAGGTGAACCGATGTTGACATCTGGAGTGTTCACATCTAACTTGGGGGCTTTAAGGTCCATATTAGGCAAGTCCAAGTCAGGAGCATCAATTCCACCCTTTATCTTTGGAGCATTAAGACTCAAATCTGGTGACTTAAGATCTGCGTTCAGGTCCATATTTCGTCCTTTTGGTAATGTACCTGAAAGATTGAATTTTGGCATTTTCAATTTGCCCGAGGGAGCATTAACATCCCAGTCTGGAGCATGAAGCTCTGGCATTTTCAGTTTACCTGATGGCATGTCTAAGTTTAGCTTTGGGGTATTGAGGTCCAGTTTTGGGCTTTTGAGATCAACCTTGGGCATATTTATGTCTGGTGCATTTATACCACCACCGAGGTTAGGACCAGAGATATCAAGGTCAGGTGATTTGAGGTCCCAGTTAGGGCCATCTAACTTTGGACCAGAAAGTCCAAAATCAGGCAGGTTGAAGTTTGGCTTTTTGAATTTTCCCGATGGTCCAGCAATATCGACATCCAAGTCAGCTTCAGGACCTTTAAGGTTGACATTGGGTGCATTTATATCTACATCTGGGCCATCAATCTCAGGTCCTTTTAGGCTTGGGAGGCCAAATTTAGGCATTTTCATTTTAGGCATTTTAAATTTTGCTTTGGGTGAACCGATGTTGAGATCTGGAGTGTTCACATCTAATTTGGGGGCTTTAAGGTCCATATTAGGCAAGTCCAAGTCAGGAGCATCAATTCCACCTTTTATCTTTGGAGCTTTAAGACTCAAATCTGGTGACTTAAGATCTGCGTTCAGGTCCATATTTGGTCCTTTTGGTAATGTACCTGAAAGATTGAATTTTGGCATTTTCATTTTGCCAGAGGGAGCATTAATATCCCAGTCTGGAGCATGAAGCTCTGGCATTTTCAGTTTACCTGATGGCATGTCTAAGTTTAGCTTTGGGGTATTAAGGTCCAGGTTTGGGCTTTTGAGATCAACCTTGGGCATATTTATGTCTGGTGCATTTATACCACCACCGAGGTTAGGTCCAGAGATATCAAGGTCAGGTGATTTGAGGTCCCAGTTAGGGCCATCTATCTTTGGACCAGAAAGTCCAAAATCAGGCAGGTTGAAGTTTGGCTTTTTGAATTTTCCCGATGGTCCAGCAATATCAACATCCAAGTCAGCTTTAGGACCTTTGAGGTTGACATTGGGTGCATTTATATCTACATCTGGGCCATCAATTTCAGGTCCTTTTAGGCTTGGGAGGCCAAATTTAGGCATTTTCAGTTTAGGCATTTTAAATTTTGCTTTGGGTGAACCGATGTTGAGATCTGGAGTGTTCACATCTAACTTGGGGGAATTAAGGTCCATATTAGGCAAGTCCAAGTCAGGAGCATCAATTCCACCCTTTATCTTTGGAGCTTTAAGACTCAAATCTGGTGACTTAAGATCTGCGTTCAGGTCCATATTTGGTCCTTTTGGTAATGTACCTGAAAGATTGAATTTTGGCATTTTCAATTTACCAGATGGAGCTTTCACATCCCAGTCTGGAGCATGAAGCTCTGGCATTTTCAGTTTACCTGATGGCATGTCTAAGTTGACATCTGGGCCAGAAAGATCTAGTTTGGGCTTATTAAGATCCATCTCAGGCAATTTCAAATCTGGGGAACCAAGAGCACCCTTAAATTTGGGGGCTGAAAGGTCGGGAGTCTTTAGCCCACCATCAAGTCCTTTCAGCTTTGGCCCTGACAATCCAAAATCTGGCATTGTAAAACTTGGCATCTTCATTTTTCCTGATGGACTTCCAAAATCAGCTTCAGGCATTTTCAGCTTTGACCTTGGGCCTTTGAAGTCAAGTGAAGGCGCATCAATGTCAAACTCTGGCTTAGACAAATCTACATCAAGACCACCTGATGGCAGATCTGGTCTATTTAGTGATGCATCCATGTCACTGTTTGCTCCTCTTGGACCTGACAAGTCAAAGCTGGGCATTTTCATCTTTGGCATGGTGAACTTTCCTTTGGGTGAACCAATGTTTACATCTGGAGATTGGAGGTCTAAATTTGGAGCTTTGAGATCCATGTTTGGTAAACTCATGTCAGGAGCATCTATGCCATTTAGCTTTGGGGATTTCAGACTTAGTTCAGGTGTTTTCAGCCCTGCATTGATATCCACATCTTTTTTCTTTGGTAATGTGCCAAAGAGCTTAAACTTTGGCAGTTTAACCTTGCCAGAGGGAGCATCTGCATCAATAGGGAATTTACCAGAAGGCAAATTAATATCCACATCAGGGGTATTAAGGTTTAGCTTTGGGTCTTTGAGATCAGCACCAGGCAAACTGAAGCCCCCTTTAAACTTTGGAGTGGACACATCCATGTCTGGAGTTTTTAAGTCATATTCAGGGCCTTTAACTTTAAGATCTGGTGCTGCCAACTGCATATCTGGTCCCACTAAATCGCCATTGAAACTTGGAACTTGAATGTCTGGTAAATCAAATTTGGGCATCCTAAACTTAGGAGCCTTGTATTTTCCAAATGGACCTTTAATGTCAGCAGATGGAGTATCAAAGGCTAAATTTGGTCCTTTTAGGTCAGCTTTGGGTAGATTTAAATCGGGTGCATGAATCCCACCTTTTATCTTTGGTGTTTTGTCACTTAAGTCAGGTGTTTTAACATAAGCATCACTTTTGCTGGAGACCCCAAATTTGGGCAGGGTGAATTTACCAGATGGGGCATCTAGGTCTAAATCTGGAGATTTAAGACCAATTTTTGATTTATGATGTGGCACTCTGACATCCCCTGAAGGCATGTCAATGTCCAGCCCATTCGGATTAAGCTGTGATATATCGGCACCTGGCATTTCTAGGTCTAAATCAGGAGATCTACCAGAAAGCTTGAGCTTGGGTGATTCAGCATAACTGGAAGGATTGTCCACATTTAGAGACGGGTTTTTCAGTTTCTTGGAATACTTAAGACTGAGTTTACCTGAGGGAACTTCTGGGGTTCCTATATCTGGTGTATTGACTTCACATTCTGGTCCAGAAAGGCCCAGGTTTGGCAGTTTCAATTTTGGCATTTTTACTTTGTTTGTTCCTTCAATGTCCACTTTGGGAACACCAGTGTCAAAGGATGGATCAGTGATATTTCTCCCATTAACGTTTATCCCCATGTCAGGGGTACTAACATCTGAACCTTTCAAGTCGATACCTACTTCTGGACCTCTAATATTTCCATTTCTTTCCAGCCCAATTTGAGGTCTTGGCATTGACAAATCAAATGATGGGCTGTTATTGTTTGGCAGTTGTATACCAGCTGTAGTGTTTGGACCATCAGGTGATGTTCCAGACAGATGTAAGTCTGGTGTGTTAAGCTGTGGACTGTTAGCATTGACTTTCAGTCTTGGTAGCTGAGCTCCACTTAGAGCAGTCCCATTCAAGCCAAGACCCAACGGTGGAAGGTTCAAATTGCTGTTGTATGTCAATTCTCCAGCATCATCAGATTGTGAATCAGCATCAACATCTGTTCTCAAAGTCTTGGTTTTCAGAAGTCCAAAGTCAACTCCGAGGCGAGGCAATCCCGCGTCGTGTTTTAGGTTGACCTTGGCTGAGCCTGGTACAGTTGGCTTGGCGGTAACCTCCCCATTCACACAGTTCTCCTCTGCACCAGGCAAATCGTCTCTCATAAACTTCTTGATTTTGGTGTTGTAGAGCTTGTTGTAGGAATCCTTCAGCATCTAGAAATATAAACCACAGGTTTTATGTAACTATTGTCTAGCACTTGGGGATGAGTTGTGTTGTGGACCTCTGTTGCATGAACTTACAAGAAGATTATTCATTAACTAATTCATTTGTTCCGTTTGACTTGATAATATTCCACCTACCGTCTCAGGGGTCTTGACACACTGGTCCAGATTTCCCATGCTCTTGCTCAGGTTTTTCCTTGTGAGGACTTGGATATTGTCATCAAAAGGCTCCATTAGTTTCAGTACTCTTAGCACCTCGTCTTTTGATAGTTGATCAAAATTGATTGTTGCCCCCAAGATTTCATCCCCTGATAAAAGAAAAATCAAGTGTCTGCATAAAACAATGCCATCTACAGCATTCCCCTGCTTTCATGGGTGCAAATCATGCTGTATGCCTTAGACTCAAAACCTAATGCCAGGGCACTGGGTTTTGTCTAAAAGTTTAACAACATTCAACAGTACTGCAAGAAACTGAAATGTCTCTGTCTAAATCTACAATGTTAGATTTGAGTTAAAAATGTCCTTATTATTAAAACTGCTGAAACTCTAAAAGCTAAGACACTTTTATGTCTTGCCATATGTAAAGAAAGTTTCAGTAGCAAGCCAACGGTTATACCTTCACTCAGTCCCTGATCGCTTGAGACACTGTTGCTGATGCTTGATACGACCAGCCCCCCCTCGTCTGATCGCTCCAGGGTCAAGGCGTCAGAGAGACTCCTTCCCCTCCGGTGTGACAGCTGCCAGCAAAAACATTTCATGAAGGTGTTAAAACAGAAGCTTTTTAAAGCAACATACAGCAGAAATATAACTATAACAGAATGTTTAACATTTTAATCCAGAAATAAAAATAAAATTCATACCATTATCCTTTTGTTTCTGTCACAGTGGCATTGAATAATCCCCCCGACTAAACCTATAAAAGAAAAGAAAATGTTGAGTAAACAAATTATAGAGAATACAGCTGTTCTTTACATGTGTGTTAAATACAGCTTTTTAGATACTGTATGTTTGTAACATATTAAAACAAGAACATTAGTTGGCCTTCAATAAAACAGATGAACCAGGAGAATCCAGCAAACAGCTCTGATCATGTGATAGTTTCACCTGTCAAATCAGTTTAAACCACTGAGATAAAGGAAGACTACGGAAGTAATAAAAGATGCCATGACTCGTTAGTTTGACGATCCATTAGCTGTATATCTTGGAAGAAAATACAAACACCTGTAGTATTGTGGAATTGAATCGATCCATGGCAGAATGGACTAAGAGAAACAGTGCATTATTCTTGCTCTAACGTCCAAAGAGGAAACACATTTTTCACAGTTTCAGTTAGATGAGAGACACCCAGGTAACTCCACAGAGGCGTCTCTCAGGTATTTGAGTAATGGCCTCAGAGCTCTTGAGCAATGAATCGGGGAAAATCAGGAACAGGTTTATCGAGAGTACTGCGAACAACTGTTCTGTTGTTGGGTGTTTCCTTTTTGTAAGGACACAATGTTAACAGTAACCACACCCACCTCATTCTAGTGTATAAATCCTTAAAGAGCATTGGCAAACCTCCAGTGAATCCAGACAGACTATTTTCTATCTATGCGAAATGTTGTGCAAAGATAAACTGGATGAATGAAACTGTTCTGCATCAGCACCTAACTGCTGTTTATACAACTCCACACATCCAAATAAAAGAATGTAAATTAACTACATTAAAATCTTTGTTGGCTTAATGATGGCACAATAAATATGACTTTGAAAACACAAATGCAGAAGTTCTCCACCATTTGCACAGAATCAGCAACATTACAGCAACAAATATGCAATGTGATCAGGCTAAAAAGGACTAAATGAATACTACATTAACTATCTCAATAACAATGTGATATTTAAAATTTGATGGCAAAATGCTAAAATGATCCCTTTTAAATTAAATTATAGTCCAATATAGATCAGAATTTTCAAAAATGTATATTGTATATATATGTCATGTATTTAAGATGTCAAACTGCAACATATGTTTGGTAAAATCTTACTAATTTTTCAGACAATGACAACTTTGCACCACAAAAGCTTCAAGAATTTTTGTCCCGATACGACGAAAAGACACAAAAATGACAACGTGTAATCAATCTAAACCTTAAATGTGATGTTTTAAAATGGTCCTATAGCCTAGAATGTGTAGTTTTAACTTCTAGAATACTTTGTCACTAAAACTAACATCAATCAGTTCATATTACACACAACTGCAAATGACTGTGCAACAGAAGCAGCTGATTTACTACTCAGAAAGTTACACATTAAACATTTTACAAGTCAAAGTGCACATGCCTGCAGTTATAAAAGTGAGAATGTTCAGTCAGTAGGATCTGGATGCACGATAGAGCTAGGACTCAATCAAAAACTGCTCTTCAGGTTTTTGCTTCATTAGCAACACAAAATTTGCACAATCAACACATTTGGAATTTGGCAGGAGCAGAAGATTTGTAGTTAGTAATAACAGGAGAATACACACATCAAAGTGGAGACCAGTGCGACTATAAGCAATGAAAGCCCATTAAAATGAACTTGGACATAGATTTTAAAATAGTATTATGATAAAAGGCAGGTGGAAGAACAGAAAGCTGTGTACAAGAAAGAGAAATAAAACCTTAAAAACCAATAGAAGAAAGAAAAGAAAGATGTTTAACAATTTCTCAAAAGGAGTCAAGGTGAACAGAACAGGAGCTGAGACAGAAACTAGCTGGATGATGGCACCTGAAACCGTCTCCCAAAACCTGCCACCTTAAGGACCACACAGTAGGAAGCCCACAGCTGAAATAAATGAAACTGACCTCAGGGTCCATCCGGCAGGTGCTTTGGTTCGTGTTGTTTAGAAGAGTTTCAGCACAGAGTTGAGTCAGTCCATGCTGTTCACTCTGCAGTCTGTGTCTGAGCAGAGGAGCGCCACTCACGTGGACAAATACTTGACTTGAAGCAGACAAACAGGTTCCACCTTAAACATCCCGCCTTCATCAACTGTCAACAGACATAAACACACACACATCCACACGCCCTAATGAAAACACACCCTGACTACCACACGCCTGCGGCTCATATGCATACAAACACACACTGCAGCAGACAACTTGAATGTCTGACCCGCTTTTCCTCATACTTCAAATGATCTGTTCCCACATGCACACATACACGGTGTAAAAACAAACACACACAGACATTTTAAACTCAGTGTTATAGCTGAAACCTCCACTCTCAGGAAACAAGACTGAGCAGAAAAACATAAACCGAAACACTCCCCCTAACAACATGATAAGTTTGTTAACATGAGAAAAATGCTGACCTGTGCCAAAGGGGAGCGGCAGGCGTTTACTGTGTGAGTCACTCTGATTACAGTCACTCGTTGGGCACAAAGACGGCTGCCTGTGTGAATCTGGATGGAAAGAAAGGAGAGAGTTCAGTGGCATTCACACAGTCATTATATAATCGTACCTGGAAAGGTAAGGCTGTGGCTCCAGATGGGCTCTGACGTAAACATAGACCATACAAAAACAGGTACGACAATAATGCTTTAATTACAAAAGCAACTGATTTATTATTATTTATTACAGCTTAATTTCTAATTATCAAGCAACCTTGCTGACCAAAAAAAAGGAACAACAAAGAAATAAACAAAAAATAAATAAATCCTTCCAAAATTATTATCCATTTAGATGTGAATATGTTAACATATAACATATGATCACACTGCACATACAGAAGGTAGAGTCGAACACCAGTGGCACATAAAAAAGAAAAGAAATCAATCAATATTTATGAAAATAATTCATATTTGTTTTAAAGTTCATGTTAGAGCTGCAAAGATTAGTCGATTAAGTCCATTCATCGACTAAAAGAAAAATAATTTAAAAAATAATAAAAATAATTCTTTGAGTCATTTTTCAGCCACAAATACCAAATATTTGACAGTTCCAGGTGAATTGCTGCGTTTCTTGTTCTTATAGTAAATTGGGGTTTTCAAGCTGGTAGAGTGGGTCGTCCACTAATCAGAAGGTTGGTGGTTCGATCCCTTTCTGCTCCTGCTGCATGTCAAAGGGTCCTTGAGCAAGATACTGAACCCCAAATTGCTTCCGATGCTGTGCATCAGTGTGCAAATGTGTAAGTGTCTGTTTGTGATGGCCTTTGCCATTGCCAGCAGTCTGTGAACGGGTGAATGTGGCTTGTAGTGTAAAAGAACTTTGATGATGACATATTGTGCTCTAGGATATTGTGATTCAAACAAATAATAAAAATAATATGATAAAATGAGTTGATGATGACAATAATCATTAGTTACAGCTCTAGTTTACATGTACGTCCCCAAAACATCCCAATACAGTATAAGAAGGTGATCAAATGTACTGTTAGCGTGGTTGAATCATTCATAAAGACTTTATAGAGACCTTTATAAAATCACAGATGGTTTTGTGTTTAAAACATTCTGATGTTGACGTTGTAGTTTGAAAAAGTCACAAGTAAATGAAATTGTCTGCGATTGTTTCTAATGGATACACAGAGGGTATAAACAGAGACGAGAAACACATCACATTTACACAGAAGACCACTAATTCATTCTAAAAAGATTCCCTCTGGTTATAAAAAATACTTTGTGTTTCTTAAGTACAAAAAAAACACACATTTAGAAAAGTAAAAAACAAAAACAAAAAAAGATAAAAGATTAGCAATTCAGAAGCTCCACGTGCCAGCTAAAAAAAAACACAGCCTGTGATCTTACGTATTAATGAAATAATAATGAGTTTAAACGAGTCAGAACATAAAACAGATTACAGTAAATAAAATTCAAAACCAAAAGTAAAATGAAAATCATAAAAGTCGTCAGTTTTGATACATTTGATAAAATGTAGTTGATAAAAGCTTAATTTCTCTTTTCATACATCTAACCTTTGAGGTCCTTAAAAACAAATATGTAGAGGGAATTTATAATGTGAGCTGGACAATTAAGAGCCTCATATATAAATAATGTCTTTTCAGCCTCTTGCCAGGTTGGGAACAGCTGCACTTGTGTGTGTATATATATATATATAACATGAAAAAAATGCTTATTTGGGTACCTTTGTTTATGTGATTACTCTCATTAGTATAAATACAAAATGTAAGACAATATCCAGCCAGATTCCCAAAGAGTTTTTCTTTCAACTTCTTTCAACTTTGGAGTATTTCGGTCTTATTTCACTTATAATGAAACATAATAAAATGCTAAGGTAATGCTAAGAAAGGCTAATTGAACACTTTAATTTACTAAACATTTAATTGTGAGAAATAACTGATCCATTTATTGACTGCCTACAGACGAATAGAGCATTTATATCATTTATGTAGCATTTTCACCTAAGAAACACACATAAAATATAAAACAGCAGGGGACCAAATCACCTTCCCTGAGGAACACCAAATTCATGAGTTAACAAACTCCTTAAAAAATCAAGATGATTTATGAAAATGTTGCAGTCAAATTGCATCAAATTATGCACTTAAATCAAGTTTGAAGCTGAACTGAGGCTTTATTAGTCGCAGTACATTATACAGAGTATTCTCTGAACTGTGATTAACACTGAGATCTGACTATGAAGTCTTCTAAATATTGCTTTCAGTTATAGCAGCTAAATGTTTAGTGGCTCGCCTCAGAGCCGAGGTAGCTCAAACAGATCGAGGGTCAGGTAACTGTCCCCTAAATCCGTGTTGTTCCCACCGGATGGATGAAAATCCTTGTAACTGGCAAAAATGTAAATTATAACAATTAATCAAAGACATATAAACCTTCATTTAAACTAAACATTTAAAATTTGATCATATCACTGTAAGTACAGGAAAACTATCTGATAATTGTAAAGTGAACCCTCAGGGCCTCCCAGTCAGTTTGAGATTACAGATTACCAACATATTCTGTAAATCATTCACTCATATTAAAGTTAAACCATTATGTCAGATTGATGTTGCTTCGTCCCTGACTGCAACTGCAAAAACAAGCTACTAAATCTGCAGTGACATCTAACATCGGTACACAAAAGCTTAAACAACTGTTTACGTCTGGGATTCAGCGGCGTATGTTCTACCACTGTCTGAATTAGGGGTCAAATGTGACAAGACTGGAAGAAAAATGGTTCCCAGATGTTCAGTAGCAGCTAAGAGAGCATTTTTATATTTCTTTCTTTTCACATTTTCAGATATTTCCCAAAATATTCAACCATGAGTGCAGCCACTGTCCTCCATCAGCCACCATACCTGGTTTATAGGAGCCTATGACTGGGAGATTTTTCTCAGTGCATCCGGAAAGAAGAAACTAGAGCTTAAGTCAGTTAGTTAATTCCATAAAAATGTCCCCAAATCAGCAAAAGAAGTTTAAGGGAAGGGATTAAAGGTGTAGTTTTTGCTCAAAATTCATTCAGAAGACTATTATTTAATGCTGATCAGCATTAAAATCATCAATTAAAAGAAACTAAATGTCAGCACGCCCATATAATCATTCACTTCTTAGTCCAAACCGTACCCTGGAGCAAGGCATTCACCGCTTCTCCGCTTTCTTCACTATGTAACAGCTGTAAAAGTGTGTGTGCAGGACGGTTCTGAAAAAGGCAGCGAGTTCTCAGCAAACATTTCAAAAATATAAAAATAAATCTTTCCATTTCTGATAAATTCCCTCCTTCCAGTGTCTCTTTCATTGTCTCACTCTCCTCTACAACCAACCAGCCTTTGGAAGATGGAGTGGTCTGTTTGGCAGAGAGCCGCCGGGGTATCAAACTCCACCACCTTCCCAGCATGCATCACCAGCACCCGGTCGCAGTCCATGATGGTGTTGATCCTGGCGACAAAAACAGACAAAGACAGACCATTCAACAAAAGTCCCTGTGAAAATTAAGAAGCCAAAAGGTGCATGAAAGCTTCTTTTACCTGTGTGCAATAGTGAGGACGGTCTTGTCCTGAAACTTCTCTCTGATGGTCTGCTGCAGCAGTTTGTCCGTCTTCTGATCCACGCTGGCTGTGGCTTCATCAATACACAGGAGCTGCATGATGGGAAAACAGTGTCTGATGAACCAGTGTGTGATGTGGAGCTCAGTGAATTCATTAGAAACAGAAGTTAGAGCAGTGCAGGGATTACTGAGAGCGAAGGTACGAGGGAGGCAGACAAAAACAAACTGCAGTCAACTAAAATCTATAATATAAAATGCACATAAACAGCATTTATTGTGGGGTTACTACATTGGATTGCATGTTTCTATCTGTGTGCTTCTTTCACTGTTGCTTTGATACCTTGTGGAGTTGAAGCCTGAATGTCTTCCTCAGTGTGCTTTTCAACAGGTAAGTGCTGTCAGGTTCTCATGCTGAGTACTAATCACACAGTGTCATAAAAATAGAGCAATTACCAGGAAAAGGTGTGTCGGCACATTCGGTCATAATACTTAATCTGACCACCAGCACACAAGGAATTCACAGGAAATTATGCAACAAGTAATCTAGGGTTACTGTGGGTTAATTTGATCCCAACATTCACTCTCCTGCAGTCGTATCAGAGCTGGATTAAGTTTCTGCTAACAAGGACATTCCTACTGCTGCTGCTTCACGTTAAAAGTACTGCTGGGATTAATTGTAGCAGCAGCCATACTGAGCTATTAGATGAGGTTATTTCCCAGCTGAAACACCCGGCTGAGAGTTAGAGGCGCAGCAGTTGTTCAGATGAGACACTTTACTTGTTATGTTACTGAATATCTGCAGAAGGAACAATTAATTTATGTGTTGCAAGTACCTAATTTCACCTATAGGCTAGTTTGTGTCCCTTGCTCTGGATGGAGGGAAGGCTGAAGCACATCGAGGAGAGAGGACAGAGATTGAGAGATGAGAAAGAGTTATATGGAGAGTATCTTTGGAAACATCTCGTCTTTGTGTCGGTTAAAAAGTGACAGCGCTGAGCAAAGCATTTTACCCAAACAAACACACCCAACCTGCAGTGCTCAGCACCTCGACCT